TGCAATTGAGCTTCCCTCTACATATTCCTGATCTCTTCAACTATCTTCCTCAAACCCCCCCCCACCCCTATGCTACCTAATTGCCGCCCCCATCATGAAAAAATTCAACGCTTAAGCATATGCAAATTTTGTACCTAGATACGAATCTCCCCTTTCACAAAAGTGAGGGGGGCGGTTACAGAAATCCCAAATTCCCTATCAACACCCTGCTGTTTTGCACTATTCCAACGTTCATAGGTAAGGTGAGTTCTTTCATCTCAGTTTTCCAGAAAGAAGCTTTTTAAAAGAATAAAGTTGAATTGCTTCTTTCTTTGGAAATATATGGATAAAAAATGATGAAATAGCGGATATAAAATTCAGGAGCGGATATAAAATTCTCCAGGTGTGGACGACTTCCTGAAAATTTTATAACCTTTTTCTTAGGTCAACTCACTGCCCCCCCCCCCATGCTACCTAATTACCGCCCCCATCATGAAAAAATTCAACGCTTAAGCAGATGCAAATTTTGTACCTAGATACGAATCTCCCCTTTCACAAAAGTGAGGGGGGCGGTTACAGAAATCCCAAATTCCCTATCAACACCCTGCTGTTTTGCACTATTCCAACGTTCATAGGTAAGGTGAGTTCTTTCATCTCAGTTTTCCAGAAAGAAGCTTTTTAAAAGAATAAAGTTGAATTGCTTCTTTCTTTGGAAATATATGGATAAAAAATGATGAAATAGCGGATATAGAATTCAGGAGCGGATATAAAATTCTCCAGGTGTGGACGACTTCCTGAAAATTTTATAACATTTTTCTTAGGTCAACTCACTGCCCCCCCCCCATACCCCCCCCCTATGCTACCTAATTACCGCCCCCATCATGAAAAAATTCAACGCTTAAGCAGATGCAAATTTTGTACCTAGATACGAATCTCCCCTTTCACAAAAGTGAGGGGGGCGGTTACAGAAATCCCAAATTCCCTATCAACACCCTGCTGTTTTGCACTATTCCAACGTTCATAGGTAAGGTGAGTTCTTTCATCTCAGTTTTCCAGAAAGAAGCTTTTTAAAAGAATAAAGTTGAATTGCTTCTTTCTTTGGAAATATATGGATAAAAAATGATGAAATAGCGGATATAAAATTTAGGAGCGGATATAAAATTCTCCAGGTGTGGACGACTTCCTGAAAATTTTATAACCTTTTTCTTAGGTCAACTCACTGCCCCCCCTCCCCCCTCCCCCCCCCCCCCCCCCCTCAATTACCCTTAGATCAAAAATTGAGATTTTTTTGACACAGTGATTTACAATGATGATGCGAACTTTTCCCAAATAATTTATTGTGTAGCTAGTTCCTCAGATCCTTTTTGCCATTTAAAATCCCAGTGAACGCATTTCAAAAACCCACGATCAAACTTCAGAAGCTGACATTTTACAAAAGACCAGGGGCTATTTTCCGAAAAAAAATCTGCAGCCTTTCATTGCCAGAGATGTGTTAATATAACCAAATTTCACATTTAATTTATTTCAGACTTGCTAGCTATTGAGGCAAACTCTATACCAGAGATAATCGCCCTCGCTCTCAAAACTCTGAGGGACGATATGATGCTGGCCAAGAGAGCCATCGAAAAGTCCAGACCCCCCACAAAGACAAAGGACGCAGTGATTGCACCCATGGACTACGGAGGAATGGTAGCAGGGGACGGACACAGAGTACGTTGAAAGCGATAGTCACAACAGCACAATAAGAAATTTAAAAAGAGGTGAAAACTGATATTAAAATGTGTTAAAACTAACAGTTGTTGATATTTTAGAACTAGTTATATTTCGATAGAATGAAGAGAAAACAAAGTTTAAAAAAAAACGTGGTTTCAAATAATCTTCGCGATCAGAAATCCCGACACCTTTTGTGATAAAAGAATGATTTCAGACAGAACTGAAACGTTTATTATCGGATAAAATTTGATTCATTTGGTATGATCACTCTCAACAAATAGCACAATATTTAGACCAGTAACTAGCAATAACTATTACTGATTTTTTTGTACACCACTTGCGATACATCGTTTAAAATATTGTTTGTGGTTGATAAAATGAGTTATTTCGAAGGAAACACTCAAGTTAAGAGCCCAAAAGCAGTCAAAAAATTGCGCAATAGAAATTTGTAAATTCGAAACGTTAAGTCAAAACACAGGCGAAGCGGAGTTTCGCAACATTCGCAATACAAAAATGAATGACTATGATTACCAGCAAATGAAAACATTGCCAATCGAAGATTAGAAAAGAGTAATGAACGCAAGTAAACATAAAAACATAGCAAACTGACAGTTGGAAAAGAGTAATGAACTGAAAAAAAAACGACTGGTTTTTCAAAAAACTTCAACTTTTGAATTTCGAAAATAAAAGCTCTTTGAACTTGTAGAGCAAATTAAAATGAATCAGCAGTCAAACCGCGAAATCTTAAAATAGAGCAAGAACAATTCTAAGACTTTTTCCTGAAAAAAAAACAAACACAAAATCAGCAAGACGTATATCAGATTTCACAACATTCATCACTTTCAAAAAACACTGTTTTTGTTAAAAGAAACTCAAATTTCGAATTTTCAAAGAAAAAAATAGATGCTCTTTAAGCTCTTTGAATTTCTAGAGCAATTTATGATTGGCACTTTTTTATAACATTAACCCAACTTGAGAAAATTGGATCAACAGATAAAATTTTTATTCCGCTGGAAATTTAACACTTAAATTCCACTTTCGAGACTAGGTATCATTCACGAATTTTTGCGCCATTTCCAAGTTTGTATTTGGAGAGTGCTATTTACGTCACTTTTAGCAGATTAACTTGATAAACTGAAAAAGTGCATGTATACCTAAGTGCATCAGTATTTTAAGACTTTTTCCTGAAAAAAAAACAAAATCAGCAAGACCTATAAAAAAAGTCTTCACTACAAATCAAGCATTTTAAAAACAAAAGTTGGCAAAATTGGTTTTTTTTGGTCAAAAGAGTTATACAAATAGCAAAAAAATCCTGAAACAAAATTACCTGCACCAGAAGAAATTTAAGAAAGAGCTTTCAAAATGTTAAAAAAAGACGAAACTTTCTGTGGTGCCTAAACCGACAAACATTAGCAGACACGAAAGAGAAAGTCAAAAAAGGTCCCGACACTCATTGAGTTTATAAAGAAAACAACTTCCTAAGATTTCCACTAAACAACATGAAAAATAATCGAAAAATAGCTAAAACAAAAAGGCAAAACACCTTGGAACTCAATTACTTGTCCAGAACCAAAATGCACTGTTTTGACATAGAGGCAATGCTGCGCTCCGCAACCACTAGCCAGAGCACGAAAAAAAGCAGCTTTAGAGTTCTGAAAATTATTATTCGAATTATTTAAAAAAAAACCGCGACGTCTCGGACTCGAGCCTACCACCTACTGCGACCTAGAAATTATGAATTTCACGCACTAACCACTCAGCCACGGACGCTAGGTCATCAAACAATAGCCAGAAATAAAGCCGAGAACAGATGCTGTAAAAATTCCAATGCTCCAGATCGTGATTATAGCAAAAAGGCACACAAGTGAACACTTTTAAAGTACACTTTTGTTTGCGAGTTAGGTTAGAAAAAAAGAAGGTTCGTACTAAAAAAAACTAGCTGCTCGCTAGCGTATATATGAAATAAAATCCCTGAATTATAGGCCGATTTGGTGCTGCGGCAACTAAGACAAAAAATCAGACCGACAGCAGTCCGACAAATATAGTTTGACGCACAGACCATTTTCCGCTTGCATAAAAAAACAGATCCTGGCCGTATTCGAACCAATGACCTTTAATTTTATAGAAAAGAGCCGTAGCTCTTCGCCACATACCCGAATTAACATCTAAATGTTGATTTCATAAAAACCAAATGTTAAATAATTCCAGTGATTCTGTTGAACAGTTGTTAACCCGAACCAATGACCTTTGTCCGTTTTCCCATTGCGGCGAGGTTCAACAATTGTAAAGCACTTATGCAATGGTTTATCTGAAAACTTGAAAAATTCCAGCTCTCAGATGAGGGCATTCTGAATAGCAAACAAGTTATTCAATGGAACGTGATATCTTCCATTAAATAGCTTAAATGCTTATCAGAATGCCCTCATCTGAATGCTGGGATTTGTCAAGCTATCCAGATATACTATTGCTTAAGCACTTTCCAAACGTACAATTTCGCCACCATGAAAAAAAAACAGACAAAAAACCCATAAGTATTTTTTGGCACCAAAAAAAACTAAACACTTGCTATCGCAATAAGGAATGTTTAGACCGTGACTTGTGAATCAACACTTCGAGAACTCAAAACTTCACTATCTTGACTATCTGCCATCTGATTTTATATGAAAAAAATGTTATATCAGAACACATCCTCAAAAAACATCAGAAACCAGAATACTCTTTCTCAGTTTCAGTGGTCGGAGCAATAAGCGTGTCAGATCATTCTTTTTCTAAAAACTGTTCAAACATTTTCCGATGACTACAAAACTTAGCCTTTTGAGAAAAATTTGTATGATTTTGCACTTTAGACTTACCTGAGCTCATTTGAACTCAGAAACAAATAAGTGCCTTTAAAGCTGAAATTGACTTCGGATGAAGTTTAATAAAATTCTGTACCAACAATTTCTGATGCACGAAGTCACCATTATACCACCTTTTGAAGAATTTCGTACTTGAGACAAACCTCAATTCATACGAAACCAGAATAAGCCCATTTCAAATTTCTGTACAAGTTATTTCGAAAACCATGAATATCGGCCATTTGAGGATTAATCGCTCTATTTAACACTTCAGACGTTTCCAAGTTCAATTCGCCTCTACCAAGAAATGACTAAGTTCATGCAAGGGAGATGGTACAAGTAAAAGATGACCATTACTTCAATCACAAGGCAATTTTTGAACAATGATTTCATGAGCGGATAATACCTTATTATGATAATTTACATCATACAGTAGCCGTTAAGACAAAGAATCAATACCAAAATACCAACCCTTGGATTGCGCGCTGCTCTGTTCAATAAAATTATGTTGCTGCTGGATGTAATTCACTCTTTCAAGTGTGCCTCGGTTTTTATTCGCAACTCCTGACTTCGCATTTCTCGGGTTGACTCCGTTCTGAGAACTCAGTGGCATATTGGGTCCGCTTCCAGGATTGTCAACAAATGTGTAACCTCGATTGAAATTCGCTTGTGTTGTCGATTGAGGGCTGGGCGAATGTGCAGGAATCGTATGCGGTGGATTTTGGAACACCTGAAAGTTAACATTTTGGTAACTTCCGAATAACAATAATTAATAATATTAGTTCTAGACAACGAGTCCATAGAAGAGCAACGCTGGATGATCTCAATAAGTCTCAATTGTACCAAATCAAATATTTTCAGCATAGAAAAAATGATCGAAAGATATTACGAGGAATGAATAAACAGCTCTACATACCATCGAAAAATCAGCCGCAGTTTTTGGCACCGATCTAACCAAATATAACAAGTCAGAGCGTTGCAATGGGTTTCTCTTGTATTTTTTTTCGGTTTGCGTTTATCCAGCTCTTATTTCACTCATTTCCAATTCAGTACTCTTATTTCACTTATTTTCAATTCAGTACTAATTTTCCACTTATTTTCAACTCAGGGCTTATTTTAAACCTTTCAATTCATCGTGTTTAATAATGGAAATTTTAGATGTCATGACATAATTGATTAACCAATTTAATCGAATTGACAAAAGCCGTACATAGTAGTTTATTGTATTTCGATTATTTTAGAACGCTTGCGATATTTTTCTGTTAAACTGCCCGAAACAGAATATTAGGAACGATCTCCAGTTTAAAGTTGATTTCCAGTATCTTTTTCTTGAGAACAACTTCCACCAATCATGCTCAAGCATTACAATCAAGTTTTGATACAGATGCCAATCTGCGCATTATTTCCAATACAACACAAGCATAGCATGACAAACTAGCCGACAGAAAACGAGAAAAGAAGGACCATGCAAACGATTTCTCCTCCAATGATTTAGCTAAGGGGGGGGGGGGGGGGGAGAAAACACGGAATTTTCAGAAATTAAGTTTCAAAATAGCCTAAGTTGAATCAATGGACAGTTTATTTTCAAAAAAAATCACGTAGGAACATTAAATTAGGTGATTAACAGCACACAAATGCAATTAAATATAAAAACTTTAGTGAGTCAAATAATTTGCGCGTTTGCTCAAAATGCATATATTTTACAAAATTATTTAAAATTAATACACGGCTGGAAGAGATTGATCCCTTGGTTGATGTGGGGGAGATCTTTCATGAGTGCCGAAAAGATCGAGCCGGAAAAATGTGAACATTTTCACAGATAGTCCAAGTGGAGCTTCGCACCACTTACGAAGGAAAAAAGTTTTAAAAAAAAGGAATGGTGAAAAAAGTTAAATCGGAGTTAAAGTTAAAGGGGAATGGTGAAAATCGGTATAAAGGTTTTTGAGAAAAAAAAATTAAATTTTTGCAAAAAGCGACAAAACTTTGCAAAGAGTCTCAATAAAAAAGATCCAATCCCATACTTTCATAATACCTATTTTTATTGAGCAGGACTTGCCGAGCAATACATTTTAAAATCAAACATGCCGAGCAATACATTTTAAAATCAAGTTAGCAACTGAAAAAACTTACAAAGCGAAAAAAAAGGCCGACAATCTTTGAGCAGACACCAGTTGGGCCGAAAAAAAACTGATTTTGTGAAAATTTTAAAAAGTTCAAAACCCCCCTGAACTACCTGCCTATTAACTAGTACCCACCCAATAGTTAAATTTGAATTTTTGAGCAAGTGATTCAACTGATTTTAACTAACTAGTTGTTAGCCCGAAAAGGTTAAATCATTCTGATTTGATAACGCTTGCTAATCGAAAGCGTAAAGACAACTACATCTATCAATATACGTATACATCTGTCTCGAATGGAGTTCAATTTTAGGAAAAACATGACAAACACAATGCCAAGTCAAATACAGAGCTAAGCTTCGTATCTTTTACGATGCAACGCAAGCATAGCATTGCAAGCTAGAGAATAGAAAAGGAGACGGAAACCAAAGTCGAAACAAATATTTAAAAAAATCAAAAACTCAATTCCAGAACAGCAATTGAAAAACAACAACCAGCATCAAACAAAATTCAAGTATCACTTGCCAAGCGAACACTAAGCCAACAACGCTTATGTGAACGCCCACTGAGTCAGAAAAAAAATGGAAAAGATAAAAAATTGTGCAATTGAATGATTTTTTTTAAAAAAAGAACAGGCCTGGAAGCAATATTAGATGCAAAAAAAAAATTTAATAATTTTTCTCAAAAATTAGCAGATAAATTCGTTTAGCAATTTCAAATTAAATGGCTACCTTTTCAAACAATAAGGGCTAGAAAGCAATGGGAACAATTAATCTGTACCCACAAAAAAAAACAATAATACAGCCGATCGAATAACCAAAAGAAATAAAGATTTAAACCAAAACTGTTAAGCGAAATGAAAAAACGAAAAAAATGAAATTTTGAATTTTTTTGCAAAATGTTGAAAGTTTTTCTCATTCAGCTTCTTCATTAGGTAAATTCAGCTTCTTCTGAAAGGTAAATTCAGACTTTTCCAGAACTTCATGTAAGAATTGAACCACTCCTATGTAAAACCAACGAAAACTAAAAGCAAAAAACAGTCGGAGAAAAAGCCTCCAGTACCGAAAATCCATTAAAAATGTTACTCTCAAAAGCAAAAATATACTCTCAATCTCAAAAGAACACTTAACAGGCACCCAAAGCCCACATTTAACATACAACCACTACACATATGATGTTATCATTATGATTACCATTTCGACCATTCTTTACAGTTCTTTACAGGAAAAAAAAGTCCCGGTTGCCATCGCAAGGGTATTAAACATGAAGCATTACCTTGCCATCGCGAATCTTATTTGATGCAGACGCGTACATGTCATTCAGAGAGTGCACTGTGACGTAACTGACCTAGAAAAATGCAAACCTTTTAAGTTAATTTCATTTTAACTAATCGAACTATTTTGATGTAGGTTGAGCATACATTGGCCTCTTGAGTGGACGAGGGAACTAGCCGAGATGAAACTGGTCGTCCAGCAGCTATTCGGGAGTTGGCATACCTTGTCGGTCCAATGACGATAGCTGATGATGCAGCAGCAGGAGATTGACTTTGAGATCTATGACTGCCAAATTTATTGCTGTTCGGCAACATTACGAAGTTGTAGTCATAAGAATCCGAAAAAATTACTAAGTTGAGCTATTTTACCTAAAGGCGAAGCGGAGCTTCGCACCACTTGCGATAAAACACAAAAATAAAATTTTCAAGAGTAATCAGAAGGTCAAAAGTATCATAGCAACCGAGGTTACAGTCAGGAGTACCTTCATCACGTATTCCAGTCAAAATCCTTGGAATTTTCTAGATCCCGAAGTGATAATGATAAAAGAAGATGACAAGTGTTGAAGTCCTTTTCAATTTAAATCGATACGGGTTACGTTTCTTCAATAGGAACACGCAACTCGACACGAGAAAATTGAGTAGAAAAAACACGCAACAATTGAGTAGAAAAAAATTAAATGTTAAAAAAACTAGATGAACCAAAATTTTCGCATGTCTCGATAAAAAACAACTAGGGGTCCAATTAAAGCTGGAGGTACGTGCTCGATACTAAATCATTTGCTAACTGATGCCAAAAAATGATTTCGAAAATTTTCTATTTTCTTTCTTTGTTTATAGGTAATCAGAAGGTCAAAAGTATCATAGTAACCGAGGTTACAGTCAGGAGTACCTTCATCATGTATTCCAGTCAAAATCCTTGAAACTTTCTAGATATGGAACTGATAATGATAAAAGATTATCAATTACAATTAAAATCGATACGGGTTACGTTTCGAAAATTGGACTTTGCCAAAACCTTGGTTGTTTCTCTACTAAAAAATAAGTGAGAAGAGTATTAAATTTTGATTTAATCAATTTTCCCAAGTAGATAACATTTAGCGCAAAAAAATCAGGAGTCGCCGCTTCTGCACTAAACAAAAGTTCAATTAAGAAATGAAAATGTGGTCAAGACATATAATGAAAAACGTGTGTTTGCACAGCGATGCCCAGCCTTTGTCTTAAAAATAGAAAACTGCGTTCTTGAGTTCTTGCATCAATGCGGGGGGAGAGTTCTTTCAAAAAATTATAGCTGGTTTCACCTATACCTCCAAGGGTCTCGATCGCAACAGGTTCAAAATAGTGAGAGGTTTCCAATTCAATTCAATTTACCAGATGTCACTTAAATTGTAGTGTCCTTGAGTGATACCTCCCTTCGAGAGTGGAAATGTCATCGGTGTGGAACTGGGATCGGAATGTTTCAAAGATATTGGCAGAATTCTGACCTCTCCGACCCGTTTGGGATGCGTGATTATATGCTTGTAGGTGTCTTTGGCAGCGGTTTCTCGACGCAAAATATGTCCAGGTGCTTCTGTCTTCTTCTCGTCACGGACTCGAACAGTGGACGAGACTTGCTCACAATGTATAACACGTCGTTTGAGATAGTTTTTGGGTATCTATAGTTCAGTATGAGTCTCATATGTTTCTGTGGATAATATCAATTTTATCGTTGACGGTTTTGTTTGCAGACCATGTTGAAAAGTTGTATGTAAGAATGGATTTCACGTACTTATTGTATATTGAAACTTTGCTGGTGACACTGATGTAGGGGTTTTTCCGTACTTGTCTTTTCTTATTTATTGTTGCATATGCTAAGCCGTTTCGATGGGTAATGTCTGCAGTATCATCGAGTATGGAACCCAGTTTTTTGTGCTAGTAAGGTCACAACGCTCACTGAATGGTGTCAATTCTGTCTTGGAATCATTTACCTTGAAATTAGAGGTTTATTAGAGGAATGATTATTGAGTTTTCCAGCTGGCGATAATTGATGCTTTTTCCATCCTCTGCTATATTGGCGATGACTGAGCCTTATTGTTTTCCTGAGATGATTGTAACATTCGCCCAAGTATTACACAGTGACGGAGCGTAGAAAAAGTAACTATAGACGACTGGCTGGCGTCATATGCCTAAATTCTACTCGTTTTTCACCGTCTCGACCTAGCCAGTTGATTTTCTTATCTGTTTCGGTTTCGGGCTAAGTAAAAAGTTACGATTTTCAGGCCATCCATCAAACGACCTTTATCAGTTTTCGTTACATGCGAATACAACCACATAGCTGGGTCTCGGATCCCCAGACTACGTGATTGCTATTAAAGACACGGCTAGAATATCCTATTTTACTATGTTTTTGGTGACAGTTCTATATTAAATCCATTTGAGATGAATTGAACATATGTGCCAGTCGGTCATATTTGGAAGTTTGACCTTGAGAGAAGCAAAAAACACTTAATTTTGGAGTGAAATTTAATTTTTCAAAATTTCGAATGGAACCTGTCATGCACAATTTTCTCGCGATAACTGAAAATCAGAAAAGAGAAGTCAGAACGATCGAGTGACAATCGCGGGAAAGTTGCTAGAAAAATCAGTGGGAAATTGCTATTCGCAATTTCAGTAGCAATAATAATCACAAAGCAAATCGCGGGAAAGTTGCTAGAAAAATCAGTGGGAAATTGCTATTCGCAATTTCAGTAGCAATAATAATCACAGTAGCAATAACAAAACCCAGAGTAGAGCTGTCCCATCTAAAACAGAGACGAGCGCATTCCCACGAACTGGATTGTTGTGATTGGAGTATTATTCTAAACTGGACTAGAGTGAACCTTCGGTGGAAAGGTGGACAGCTAGAGTGTCCCAATGGTTCACGAGAACTTACAGTCTAGAGTAAAAACTTGTTCTTGTTATTAAAACTGACTAACATTAAACTCATTTTAGTTACTTTATTGATTCTTGAGTTGCTCACCGACTTATTTACTTCCTGGTTCTTGAGCGTGCTACAATGTGAGTACTAATTTAAATTTCTAGAGTGTGTTTTATAATTGTTATGTTGAGGTAAGGCGAGTTTTAGGTTGATCCATCTGAAATGGATCAAAGTTCCACTGTCTAATAAAAAGTAACTTAACGGATTGTTCCGACCCGGTTTTTAATGGCGTTCATGTATTTTGGGTATCTAGAGACCTAAGTATGGGGACGTTTCTAATTCTAGAGTGGGGGGATATTTTAGTAGTAGCCTTTAAGCTGTAACGGGTCGTAGTCTCATGTCACAAGCGAACCGAATTGGCTCCGACTGATTTGAGGTACAAAAACACAAGAGATAGTGTCCCTGACTCTTGAGCCAATGGTTATAGGGCCTGTTTTTCTTAAGCCTCATGTGTGACTGCAGTAGACGAATGTTACATAGTGTTTTTATGGCGCTCCTGGGTGTTTACGACATCAAGACTACGCAGTCGAACCCACTTGAGACAGCTTCGGGCTGAATGCCCATTCTAGAGTACCGGCGGTACGGTTCGACAGGAACGTTCAAACCTTCCGGTTGTACCGTGATAGCTTTTTAAGAAAACTCAAGAAAACTTCCTGGTACGCTCTCCGAACGAGGCTTAGCTAACCGAGTAAAGGGGGGCAACTAGGGGGACAAAAAGACGAGCAAAAAGACAAAAAGCGAAACAAAAACCATAAAACGAAAAAAGACAGTGACTTTGACACCAGATTAGTTGGATCAAACCTTTATATTAATTAAATAGTATACCCATACTGTTTTTACAAGTTCGATCGTTTCGATCAACCTAGTAATTTAACCCAGTAACCTTAATAAAGAGCCCGAGTGTGGGGCGTTGTCAAGGGTTTTCAGATAGCTTGGAACTTAGCTGGACAACAAGGAGACTTGACTGGAAGAGGTGACCAGCCGAGTGGGAAAGTGGTTCAGGAGCACTTGAGCTGAACCAATAGGAGACTCGACTGGAAGAGGTGACCGGCCGAGTGGGAAAGTGGTTCAGGAACACTTGAGCTGAACCATTAGGAGACTGGACTGGAACAGGTGACCAGTCGAGTGGGAAAGCAGCCAAGAAGGATTTGGCAAATCTCGAGTTCGCAAGTTGGGCAGAACGGGTATCGTTAAAATCCAAATTACATTATAGGAGATAAGTGTAAAATTGGATAAGCGAAACCCCCCGGTTTTGAGGAACGTTTTTACTTGAGCAGGCCTGGAGACAGGTCTACAGTTTTCTCTTGAGAGGTTTAGCACCCGGCGCTTAAGGTGATTTTAGGCTTAAGAAGGGGGGCTAAAAAGGGGGGAGGTTAGAAGGGGGGCTGGTTAAGTTAGAGGTTGGCGGTTGTAAATTGTAAAAAGGGGAGAAATTAGAGTAACTAATTGGTCGACATCGTTGATTTATTTACATTAGTCATTTACACGCGTTGGTCATAGGAAACGGATATCCAAAATTGGAATTAGGTTAAGGTAGGTACCCTGGTCGGTTCGGTAGGGGGGAACGGACATAGACAGTTTTTGTGATACCCCATAAGATCGCTAGCAGGGGGGAAGGAAACGCGTGGCAATTAGGTACCAGACATTTTTTTTCGACGAAAGGTAGACATTGGTCACCTTTGAAATTTAGGTGGGCTCATTTTTCAGTTTTTATTACTTTTTCTGGCTTGGATTTTTTGTTGCATTTTGGGGAGGATTTGTGTTTAGTTTTTATACGAACAGGTGATCACAAGATACCTGCGCACAGGTTTTGGTCTCAAGTTGCTTGGAACATTGAAATAGAGGTAACTAAAAAGAAAAAAGAAAAAAGGGGGGTCAGCATTTGGCTTTTAAGAGAGGGTTTTTGGGAAAATTTTACTAGAGCTTGAGTGGTGGTACAAGGCACAGTGAATCAAGAAGTCCCCATAACGAAAAAGAGAGAAGTTCCACCGCTCAGACACTTGTCAAACAGCCTTGGGACAGTGCCAAAGAAGTCCAGGGACAGTGTTGGACCAGAACAGTCTTGATACAGTCTTGGAACAGTGGTCTTGGGACAGTGGTCTTGGGACAGTGGTCTTGGGACAGGGTCTTGGGACAGTGGTCTTGGGACAGTGGTCTTGGGACAGGGTCTTGGGACAGTGGTCTTGGGACAGGGTCTTGGGACAGTGGTCTTGGGACAGGGTCTTGGGACAGTGGTCTTGGGACAGTGGTCTTGGGACAGTGGTCTTGGGACAGTGGTCTTGGGACAGTGGTCTTGGGACAAGGGTCTTGGGACAGTGGTCTTGGGACAACGGTCTTGGGACAGGGGTCTTGGGACAAGGGTCTTGGGACAGTGGTCTTGGGACAGTAGTCTTGGGACACTAGCCTTGGGATAGTAGTCTTGGGACAGTAGTCTTGGGACACTAGCCTTGGGACAGTAGTCTTGGGACACTAGCCTTGGGACACTAGCCTTGGGACAGTAGTCTTGGGACACTAGCCTTGGGACACTAGCCTTGGGACACTAGCCTTGGGACAGTAGTCTTGGGACACTAGCCTTGGGACAGTAGTCTTGGGACACTAGCCTTGGGACAGTAGTCTTGGGACACTAGCCTTGGGACACTGGCCTTGGGACAGTAGTCTTGGGACACTAGCCTTGGGACAGTAGTCTTGGGACACTAGCTTTGGGTCAGGGGTCTTGGGACACTGACGGAGTACTGGGACATTACCGAACAGTCTTGGGACAGTAAAAGGAAGCCTGGGACGGTACGAAGAAGAGTAGGGACGGTAACTGGAAGTCTTAGGACAGTATAAAAATTGAAGTAAAATTACAACAAGTTGTTTTAAGACAGAATTAAGACAGAACAAGACTAATTGGAACCCGGTACGGTTGGGACCACGAATAAAGAAAGTTACTCGAAGATTTTAGAGAACTGGAACAAGGTTTTTATCACGTTGTATATTTTCTTTTAAGAATTTGTTTCCACAAATTTTTTTTTTTATTCTTAGAATAGAATTGTGTATATAAAAATATTGTAAATAAGGGAAATTGTAAATAGGAATAATGAAACGGAGTAGGGTACCGGTGCTTGAAAAAAGGTCAAGTGGATCAAACACGAAATATAACTCGTCGCTGCGTGGAACAACATCAAGGGGCCCAGGCAAAACAAGAAATAACTTTTCAGTTAGCATGGTCAGCACGAGGAGTGGCACCGAGAGCAAGACGCGAGAAGATGCGAGGGAAAAAGAGGTGGAGCCTACAATCGAAATCGACCTAGAGACACCAGACCAGAGCGTAGATGAACTGGAGAAAAAGACGACGGAGTCAACTCCAATGCCCAATGCAGAAGAACCAAACCCGAAACCCATAGAGTTCTCACCAATAGACGATGTGGAAGATGCAATAGGCAACACCGAAGAAACGGTGAAAGAAGACTCTCAAGTAAAAAAGACATCTTTTACAGAATGGTTGGCGATGATGGTCGGAATAAAAACGAAAGAGAACGTGACTGAAGAACCAAAAGCTGAAAGAGCACGAACATTTGGGACAGTGAGCACGAAGACGACAGAAGCCAATCCGAGAGAGGAACAAACTAAAGCAGAAGCAACGGCCGAAGAAAGACCAACGGCTGACCATGAAGAGGCTACTCTTGAGCTAGGTGACTTGATGGCAAAACTGAATCAGATCGACAAAAAGCTGAAGCACAGCGAAGAGGACAGAGAAGTGATAAGAAAAGAATTAAGATACATAAAACACGAGTATCTGGATAGTTATTTTAACCTGGCTAAGGCAACAGACGAGAGACTCAAGGAGATGACAGATAAGGTAGAAGCCACCAATAAAGAACAAGAAGGGAACATCAAAAAAGATTTGCAACAGTTGAAAAACCGATATGATGATGTCAACAGCCAAATAGGTAGCCTGGAAAAGAGGCTGGACACAATGAGCAAGAATCAGGCCGAAAGTTCAGGTGCAATACAGACGAAATTGGATGCAATCTTGAGAAATTCTACCTCACAAGAAAGACCGGCAGCGGATCGCACGCAAGGCACCAGAGTTGACTTTGTGGAACCACAAAGGGGCAAACGGCAATCGACACCGTTGCCCTTAACCCGGGATACGGTGAGCATAGCACCAACGGCTGATAAAACAATCATGAAAAGTGGGAATTCAAACACAACGAGTGGTCCAGGGGACTCAACAGCTAGCAGCAACGCAGGTCCGGATGCCATGACGTGGGCAAGCACTTGGGAGATGATGAACAGGACTCTAGAGTCCTTCGCCACGAGGAACACTAACTCGAGCGATAGGAGAGACGGAAAATCAAGGAAAACTTTCAAGAAGCCAAAAGAATTCAAAGACGACTCAGATGGATGCATTGACACGTGGGTGGAAGTGATGAGATTACATCTAGAACAAGATAACTTAAATGATGAAAGGCAAGCATGCACAGCCATACTCAGTAACCTGGAAGGCACGGCATTGAAATGCGTGGTTGCAAAGAAAGAAGAAGAACGCGATACCGCGGACAAGATCTTCGAGATATTGCTGAATCGATTCGGGTCAGGCATGAAGGGTCACCAAGCGATGATGCGATTTGAAAAGAGAAGGCAGAGGGACGACGAGTCAATAGATCGGTTCCTAGATGATCTCGAGAGCTTGAGAAGAAGGAGTGACCCAGAGGAGTCGACAAACAGAAGGAACTTTAGCATTGCCTCGAAGTTCATTGATGGGGTAAAAAGTGACGACTTAAGGACAATGTTAGCAACATACTACACATTGTCGAAAGACAGCGCACCAACCCCAGAAGAAATGAGACAGAAATCAAGGGAATACATGCTGATGAAACCCAAGAAATACTCATATACAGAAAACAGGAACACGCAAGGGGGAAGTCAACCCCAGAGGTCGTCATGGTACAAGCCTAGAGATGACATGGACAAGCGCAGATCATGCGCGAACTGCGGGTCGGCGGATCACCACAGGGCTGACTGCACAACATACAAACAAGGCATGAAGAGTCTAGGATATGCACCAGATGAGGAGGACATGAGCCAGATGGAGGAACACGAGTACTATAGTGGCTTAATCATCAAGATAGGCGCAAGATGCTTCTTCTGTAACCAGGAGGGGCACTTCAGAATGGATTGTCCCTTGTTCTGGGAAGCGGTCAAGGACCAGAGTCACCCCAAACATAAGTTGGCATTAGCGGCAGTGCAGAATCAGCGGAATAGACAAAACGAATTTGAATCTAGGAACTTAGGAGCACCAAGCACGGAATTGCCGACGAAAACAGTGAAAGCTGTAACACATGTTAATGGTGCGATAGAGTCCGCGGCTGGGAACTCGCTAGAGATAAACTATGAGAAAGCGGCGACGGAAGCAATTGCCAAAGTAAAACAGGATCTGGCTGCGAAAGAAATAGAGCAACGACTAAAGCTGGAGATCGAAAGACAGAATTTCAACGAAGCATTAACCGGATCGAACCAAACACCAGAGGCTGTACCGGGCTCAACAAAGACGGGGAATTGTAACACTGTAAAAATGGTGACGGGAAAGCCATTCGGCATATCGAAAATTGGGGCTAGAATAATGTCGATAATCACAGTGGGCGGCCACGAGGTAACCAGAAACTTGAGCGAACCGAGCGACCAGACGATAATGCACATTGACGTGTACGCAGATTACTTGAGCTGTATAAGCCCACAAACGACTTCTAGAGCCTTGAGAGCACTACTCATGAGAGGGGGCAGCAAGTCGGTACGTGTTGATAGCAGATATACTGAAGCTTATGGTCCACACGAGGTGATGCTAAATATAGATGGGATTAACATCTATACCAAGACGATGATAACATGTGACGAAGACCTAATTGGACAAATCTACGTAGGGAAAAAAGAATTGAAAGTGAGATCGATTGGACACTGCGCCATGCTTGAAGAAGATGCAATGCACATCGGGACGGAGGCAGATGTGACAGGGCACGTGCTGGATATAAGTGGCAAAAAGACTCAGTTGCGTAGGTTGCTTGACACGGGAGCAGTCTTGAGCGTCATACCAATCGAAACTTGGGAGAGGATGGGTTTTGACAAAGGTGACTTGATAGACTCGAGAATACGGCTGTCGGCTGCAAACAAAGGGGCCCTTCGGGTGCTGGGCAGGACGCCGATAATAGCCCTCAATTTGGGGGAACGTAACCTGTGGATGAGCTTTATCGTGGTAGAAAACCTAGATGAATCTGACCAATTCATTTTGGGCAGAGACTTCATCAGGAATTTCGACGTAACGATTGATCTAAATAACGCAATGTTCAGGATACGGAACCCGGATAGGAGGTACGCAATCAAACCGGTAAATTTAATAATGGCAAATGAAAACAAAGCACCGGTATTCTTGAGTAGGAGGGTGAGGCTAAAAGCTAATGAAGCGGCAATCGTAAGTTTGAGGATGAAAAAATACAATGAACTAAGTGACAACAAGCAAGTGTGCATAGTTCCGAATCCTAATAGTCAAAGTGCTGCTGTTTTAGGAAGATCATTTTCGATAACGAAGAGCGGCCTCTGCGTCAGTGTCTTGTTGAATACCCTTGATATACCGATCACGATACAGAGAGGGAGGAAACTGGGATATGCTTTACCGGTTAAAACTCGATATGAAACAATTGAGAACTCAAAACAAAATGAAGTTGTTGATTGTCCCAATCACAGGGACAAAATTTGTATCTTGAGACGATTGCAGAAAATAAAAGATTCTTCAGGTCTTATTAAATCACTTAAGTCAGAAACGGATGATGGTCTTTCGAGCTGTTCGAACTTTCCAGAGCGACCCACACTAGATGAAATGCAAAATGAAAAACCGGTCCTGCCGGAGATTGAACATTTGAAGGGCAAACTGAAAGATGAACAGCTCGAAGCCATCAAGGACGTACTAGAGCAAAACGAGGAAGTTTTTTCGAGGCATAAGGCGGATATCGGGTGTTGTAATTTCGTTGAACATGAAATAGAACTTGAGGAAAACGCGGTACCACACAGGGAGGGGGCGAGGCGCATGACCCCACACAAATCGGACGCGTGTAGAAAAGAGATCGAGACGTTACTAGAGTATGACATGATAGAACCATCCAAGTCACCGTGGGCGTGTGGAGTAGTGATGGCCAAAAAGAAAGGCGACCAGTTGAGGTTTTGTTGTGACTTTCGATACCTGAACTCCGTCACGGTGAAGGATGCCTATCCCATACCTAGGATTGATGAGAGCCTCTCGAAGTTAGGTGATGCAAAATTTTTTACGACTCTTGATTTAGGCTCGGCCTTTTGGCAAGTACCACTAAGGAAGCAGGACAGGGACAAGACAGGGTTTGCCTGCGAGTTGGGTCTGTTTCAATGGAAACGGATGCCGTTTGGACTTTGCAATGCCACAGCCACGTTTCAGCGGTTGATGGCACACGCGCTGATAGGCGTAACGAAGAAGTATGGCAACCTGGTAATGTGCTACGTGGATGACGTGGTAATAGCGACGCCAACACTGGAAGACCACATTGAGAGACTAGACGAAGTGTTTGCATGCATGAAGAGGTCGGGGCTAAAGTGTAAACCATCAAAGTGCGAGATACTCAAGGACTCAATAAAATACTTGGGCAGGATGGTAGACAAGCACGGCATCAGACCTGATACGGACGCCGTGGAAGCAGTCCTGACCTGGAAATCACCGAAGACAGAGCACCAGTTGATGAGCTTCCTGGGTTTCGCTAACTATTATAGAGAGTTCATCAAAGGCTATGCAGACAAGGTATACCCGATGCAACAATTAATGAGACACAAGGGCAAGAAATTCACGTGGAACAACGCAGCAGAAGAGTCATTCCAGAGGATAAAGAAAGAGCTATGTGAGGCACCAGTACTGGGTATGCCGACTGAGAAAGGGATGTACGTGCTGGACACGGATGCGTCGGTAGTCGCGATTTCTGGGATTCTCCACCAAGAACAAGAATGGAATGGGAAGACAGTCTTGAGACCAATAGCGTACGGGAGCAAAGTCCTGAGTGACACGGAAATGAAGTACGGAGCACCGAAAGCTGAGATGTTCGCGGTGGTTACCTTTGTCGAGAAATACAGGGCATACCTGGGCAGTGAGCCATTCAAGTTGCGAGTCGACAACAGAGCACTGAGCTGGCTGAAAACGTACTCAATGGACCAAAGTTACATTGGGAGGTGGATAGTTCGCCTGGACGGATACAACATGATAATTGAGCATAGAACGCGAGATAAACATCAGAATGCCGACAGCTTGAGTAAGAAGACGGAGTTCTATGAGAGACAAGAGCAAAGAGAAGCAGACAGACCTGAAATCAAAGATGGCTTCTCATTCATGGACACGGAAACGTACGACAGTCTTCCACTCACGAGATGGCTGGACAAGTCAGGCAAACCGATAGAAGATCATCCTGAATTGCCTAAAGAGCCTCCAGAGAAGACCATCTTGAGGAAGAGCAAGAGGATTCCGATTGAGATTATACTCAAGTCGAAGATCGTGAAGGAGACGCTCAAGGCAAAAGGCTATGATCTTAACCAGGTGGAAGCAGGAACTGCACAGATAGATGATGACTTAATGAGGTTTCTCGAGAAACTATCAGATGATAAGCCCGTGATCCAGGAGAAAGGTCAAGAGAAACCGGAATTCACTATACTTCGGAGAAAAGAGACAGTGAACGATACTGACTCATCAAGAGGAAGCGTCACTGACAGCAAAGATGTCGTGCGGTCACTAGTTGACAAAATCCCCGAAGACATTCTGGAGCAGACCAAGGTTAGGAAAAAGAAAGTGACGTTCAAGGAAGATACTGAACACCTGGGACTAGGTCAAGAGTCCGGGGAGTGTTCCAGGTTCACGGAAGAAGGAACCGGAGAAGGAAAATTGTCCGGGGAGCGTGAAGGATGGGATGAAGACTCGGATGAGAGCAGCGAAAACCAAGACAGTCTGTGCATGATACTGGCGGAAGAGAAGACAAGGCACCACGACAGGGAGTTACAGACGGATCCATCTTCAGGAACATACAACATGGACATACAGGAGATGCGAGGTGGTGAGGAACTTGAGAAAATTGCGGTCGCAAGGAAACCATTCAGGGAACTATCATGCAACTCAAACATCAGAACGAATCTGGTGCCAGAAGATGATATGAAAATCGTGAAAAGGATGATATGCGTGAAACTGAGTGATGACATCCACAACCCTGGTGAGATGAATGGACAGATCATGGCGCTAAAGGAGCATGTCAAGGCAAGATATAGGCTGTCAGATCTAATAAGAGTTCAGAAGAATGACAAAATGACAAGTAACCTCTCCAAATGTATCCAGTCGGTGGTCAAGGAGAAGGGGGAACTTGAGGAAGACAGCTACAAGATCTTGAGCCAGTTCTACAAAGAAAAGAAAGACTTACTTTATCACACAGCTGATGGAGTGGTAGCGTGCAAGAGGAGAGATGAGGAAAAGATATTACACAAACACAACCTCATCATACTACCACAATTGTACCAGACAGAGGTGCTTTTCAGATCACACGACCAGATGGGTCACCAGAGGATAGACAAAGTACAACAAAGGATACTTCACAGATTTGATTGGCCAGGAATGAGAAAAGCTTGCGAGAGATGGGTGAATGCCTGCCTGGCATGTCTCCAGGTAAAAGACCCAAGGAAGATGAAGTTTCCCCTCAAGTCCGTTGAGAGCTCGGAGTTCAATGAAGTGGTGCAGATAGACCATCAAAAAATCTGCATGACAGAGTCGGGATACAACCAGATACTGGTTATAATAGATCACTTCACAAAGTTGGCGGAAGCGGTTCCGTGCCAGACAGCCTCGGCCGAAGAGACATGTGATCATCTGATAACGCATTGGATATCGCGGTATGGTTCTCCAATGAATTTCCAGTCGGACAACGGCAAAGCTTTTTTGTGGGGGACTTGACAAAAGAATTGATGAAGAGATCGCACATTGCTCAAGCACACTCGACGACCTATCATCCGCAGACCAATGGGTTGGTAGAGAGACAAAACAGGACACTGGTCAACATGTTAAGGGTGTACTGCTCAAGATACATGACGGACTGGGACAAATACCTGCCACAGGTAGTAGGAGCCTACAACAGTACACAGCACTCAACTACGGGCATCAGTCCTTTCATGATGTTGACGGGCAGGGAGAGAGCAATGCCTCTGACATTCTTTTACCCGGAATACGAGGGGAAAAGGACGTCGCCTCAGGCATACGTGAAAGAAGCGATCAAAAGACAACAGGAGTTGAACGAGCTATGCAGGAGGAACACGGCGCAAGCGCAAATGAGGCAACGCAGGAAATACGACGAAAAAATATTAAGAGCAAAGCCATATGAAGTGGGCCAATACGTGTGGGTCTTCCAAAATGTAATACCGCCCAAGGGAACAAAGAAACTACTCAAGAAGTGGAGGGGACCATTCATGATAACGGAGGTTCATCAACAAGGACGGTTCTATCGCTTGAGTACTGGGCGAGCGGCACATTATGAAAATCTGAAGCCTCACGTCCCGTCCCCAGAGGATTGGTGCATACCGAAGGACATGGAGGGTCTTGAGTACCTGGTGGTAGAGCCAGCGTGTGAAGTGAATGAGAAAGGCACTAGAGAGAAAAATGATGGTAAGGAGAACTTGAGTTTGGACGACAATGAAAAGATAGGAGTGGGGTCTGATGCAGGATCATTTGTAGAAGAAGACTGGAACGACCCGGAGCAAGACGAGGTGCCGAAGTGGATGGAGCCGGATCGACCAACACCACCGGAAACCAGGACTGGCAATCGTAAACGCACCGGCATGAGGTACAACAGGTACGGGGATGACTTCTTGATCGATAAGATACAGCCAGACAATTTGGGCGAGGAATTACTGAAGGCAGGCGAACTGGAAGCCGGAGAGGAATGGCAGGTCATTGACGATGGTGGTCATTATCCGCAGGATGATTACTCGACGCCAGAAGTAGAAACGGATCTCGAACAGAGTGAGATAGAGAGGAGGGAGAACACGAACTTGAGGATTCTAGAGTGGATGCGTGATGTCAAAGACGAGAGCCGCTAAGGACAAAGCATTCAGCAAGTCGATGTATCAGCAGCAAATTACATGAAGACAGAGGACCCTCTTTTCGGATGGACGGCAACAGACAGGCCACTGGACATTCCTCAGGACAATTCAGACCCGACAACATCGACGGGGACGTCGATAAATATTTTTGTCCGGGGTGTGGGGGTAGGACTTACCCACACCGAAAATTTGATGATAAAGAAGCTCAACGAAGTGAGAGAAACGAGCGAATTGGAACTGGAGGAAGAAGAGCCAGAGCCTACTATAGGTCGGAATTTCAAAACGAAATTCGAAATACCCAATGAATACTCGGAGAAGATCATGATAACGGATAGCGACTTCATCCTGTCAAACAGGACCAGCGCGATCTGCATCACGGCGGACATGAGTTTCAAATCAAGATTGGAAGCTGACTTCAAAAGAGAGTACCAGAATGTAGAGTTTCTGTTCAGACAGAGACCAGGACTGGGAGGGATGGCAGCGCTTCCACCGTCAGTGGCACAAGTCCCGGGCAAATATCTGTGCTTCCTAGTAACGAGGGTCAATGACAGGAACACAATTGATCCCGAACACGTGATATTGGCACTAACAAGATTACGAGACTTCATGATTGAAAGAGGGATAACAGAGGTCTCAATGCCGGTGTATGACCCAAACAGGGGCA